TACAATAACAAACTCTTAGCAACATCCTAGCAACCACCTGGCACACCATAGCAACCACCTATCAACATCCTAGCAACAATTTACAAGACCATAGCAGTTTTCTGCCAATGAACTGATAAGTGTGCTTACAGCTCTCTGCATTTTGACCACTTATTATCCATTATTTCAGTATTAGTTGATACTTTATGTTCCTCCACCCTAACCTTAGCTATCCATCAGTGATGGACCGTCACTATTACAGCTAGGCCTTCAGTCCGAGTCATAAATGGCAAAACTCTTCTTTTTCCATGTTTTTTACAGTGAACTGTTTCACATTAAACCACTCTGAATGAATTTGCTTACATCTCAACCACTGAATTATGCAGACATTTCGTAAAATAGGTGGAAAGACAATAAGACAGACGAAGGCTCTGAAAAAATCGACATGTTAGGCTTGAAATGGTCAAAGAATAGAGGGGTAAATTGCCTCCACTATGTGAAAGAAAGGTGCCAGATGAAAAACGTAGTTTAATAAATGTAGCTCCTGACCCCACTGTCCTGTACTGGACCACGCAATATCTGGTCACCCTTTGCAGGCCGGTTGTCATATGGTGTTATATAGTGCTATATATTCTATGTGTTGAATAGTGCAATGGCCAGTTACTCTCTCTCTCTCTCTCTCGCTCTCTCTCTGTCCCCATTTAGTTAGTGTGACTGTGTCAGATCCTGCCTTTTACACGCATGAATGCGCTCCGTTTTCTCTTCCCCTCCTTTCTCTGTCCCTCTCTCTCTCTCTCTCTCTCTCTCTCTCTGCGGCGTGTGGCGTTAGGGCCGAGTCAATGGCACCCTCCAGCCTCCATTTCCCTCTCATCTCCGCAGGAGCTCTCTGTTATTGAAAGCTCCAGCAGTTGCATCATGCCCTGAATGAGGCGCGATGTGTTTCAAATTCCAGGCGGGTCAGTCAAATACAGTCTCAGATTTTTCAGCGTTCGCAATCAAAGGGAAAGGTGAGGCCGCTGCATTTTGCTTAGAAGTTGGATATTAGTCACATTGTGGCTCTGTAAGAAAGCTTTCACCTGTCCTTATGTTCCAAACCAACTAGCATCAAGTGCAATCCAAGCTATTCTGTCATCAGAGAGGAGAATTCTGTGCAGCGAAAATTTCAACAGAGGGCAAGACGTCAATACGAGTGAATGTGTGGGAGATGAATGAGGATGAACTCTGACAAAGGTTGTAATTCTTTCTGCTCCTGACATACATTAATATATAACACATACAAACACTGTATGTTCAAAAGTTTGTAGACACTATTTTTCCACCATTTCTTCTGAAATCAAGGGTGTTAATAGAGAGCTTGTGTCATCTATGCTGCAGCATCAGCCCCTACTTTTCTTGAGCAGACTTTACAATAGATGTTGGAACATTGCTGTGAGGATTTGAGTGCTGGTCAGGTGATGTTAGATGGTCACAATAACAATAACGCCACTCCAACTCATCCCAACAGTATTCAGTAGTATCCAAATGATGCTGTGCCCTGAGTTGCTGCCTAAAAGCTAGAATTTTTTGGGGCTTTTCAAGTGAACATGAATCAGAAATCATTCACTTTCTCTGTGTAAATGGCAGCTTTGAGTGAATCCTTTAGTAAATAAAGCCTAACTGTGAGTCTTATTAGATGAGACTGTTAGACCTTTAGCTTTTAGAAAAAAAAATCTGTTTAAAAAAATGAAATGAAACAGTTTTGTTAGCTTTTTGACTTTTTTTAAAAAAGTATTTAAGATGCAATTTGAGAGCAGTAATGTTCAGAGGATATTGTTGATTACAGTAATGTACTGCTGTCAACATTTATTGTCGTACAAATAGTTTTGTACTGCAATTAAAAAAAAAGTAAAATATGTCATTACTGTAAACTGACATCACAATATGAGCACTGTAAATATGAATTATAGCAACTCTGCTGCCAGTAAATGTCAATGTACTCTGTATTTGTATACAAGGAGAAACTACTCATAAAACTCCCTTAAAATAGTAGTTCTTCAGTTATTTAGTAAAAGAATTGGCTACATTTAGAACCCTGACATCTTAAAGAACAATTTAAATGTATAAATGGTTCTTCTTTATGATGGAAAACCTGAATATATGTTAACTGACCTTTTAAAAAATGGTTTTATATAAAACGCTTCTGCTATTGTTACAAGTCATAGTTCTATTTAGTTCTATAATAGTTCTATATAGAGCTCTTTTTGCTAAGCATGTAGTGCATAATAGTTTAAAAAGTTAAAGCCAGAGCACACAACCCAGTAAATATCAACAAACCCAAACATTTGATAGGTGTGGCTTTGGGGTGTGTAATCGTTGGAATACTCTAGAATCGTCATATCATAAAAATATGGTTCTTCAGTGGTTCTTTAGAAAAGACAGTGGTTGTATATAGGACCATGAACACTCAAAGAACCATTTGTGTGTGTACAGTGATCTTCGCATCATGAAATCATTCCTCAAATTGATGAGGAATATGTTGTGTACAGTTCTACATAGTTCTTTTTCGGTGCTATATAGAACTTTGTGTCGTGGAATGGAAATTCTAGCATGCATGGCCTGTACAGAAAAGGCTTAGAGAAGGAGTCTGCAGAGGCTTAATGTGTTTCCAGTGTGTGCAGCAGGCTACTGGAGTTTTTTTCTCAGTCTATTGTGGCCTGAGTTCTTTTCTATGCTGTGGTCTGCTGGAGAGGAACGTCCCTGGAGGAGACGCCAAGTGCCTCAATAAACAGATCAGAAAAGCCAGTGCCATCAAAGGACTGACTCTGGACTGACTCTGGACTCTCTGGGGGGCAGTGACAGAGAAGAGGATGGTAGCTAAACTTGAGAATATTTTAAACATGCCTACCCATCCACACTGTGATGTAATATTCAGGAGCATGTTTAGCTATTGGCTCATTTTCTCAAGATGTTCTACGAGACAATGTTGAGGGTCCTTTCTGCTGACTGCCATTAGGGTCCACAATGCTTCTTCCCAGTAAGCTATGTTAACACCTTCTTCTCAGAATGAATAAGAGATTGAATTTGCAGTCTCATTTTATTTAATGGCTACTTACATAGGGACATCATGTTTAAGCATTTAAGAATATTATATAAATTTATAAAGCAATAACTTATAAAGCATTAAACACTTATAAACAGCATATGCCAGTAATTTCAAGATAATTGTGAATATTTTTTAATATAAAAATATAACATAATATAGTATAATATAATATAAAATAATATAATATAATATAATATAATATAATATAATATAATATAATATTACCTTTTTTGTCATTTAGCATTAAACATATGATAACACAGCACTTTTAAATGTTACATGATGTAGTTTTGAATGCACTTTCTGATGTCTGACACATTGTTTGATGATAGTTTGCAGATACAATTGCGGCCTTATTAACATTCATGGCAGAGAGGTACATGTGGGGCAATAGTTCCAAAAGAAAACATACTTTTTCCAGATTCACAACTATTTTACCATTACCAGCATAAAAAAACTCAGTCACCATGACAGAAGTACACTAGTGACCACCTGGGACACTTTTGCAATCACCTAGCAATACCCTTGCAACTGTAACAACCATCTAGCAGCCTAGAACTTATCTAGAATACACTATTAACCTCTTAGCCACACCCTGGCAACCACCTGGTACACATAACAATGACCTATCAATAACCTAGCAACCATTTCATGATTTTTTTTTACTTTTTGTCATATAGTAATGAACATATGATAACACAGCCCTGTAAATGTATAAACTTTCACTTTCCAAGTACTTTTTGGTCACCAGATTACCACCACGAGTCTTATTTAGCACCAATCCAGCAGTGCCCTCTTCTCGCGCTGGGGCTGCATCTCAAATGGCTCCCTGCTCCCTACATAGTGCACCATGTAGGAATTTAAATACTGAATCCTGCACCCCAACAGTGCAAAATACAGCTAAGAAATAGTGACTTTGGACTAGAATTTCTAAACTTTCATAGTTTAGCACCTTACATAGGGAGTATGGAGCCATTTGGGTTTCAGCCTGGGTTTGACACCACTTCTAACTTAAACATGGACTTTTGAAGTGTGTAAGTCATTCCAGTAACACTCTTTAGACTTTTTTTTACTGCCGTTTTACAGTTAATCATACCGTAAGTACTTTAATTCAAGCCTGTGATATTAATGATGGAGTTATTTAGGCTGTTAGCTAGCTGACCAGCCTAGTTTTAGTTAAGAACATAAGCTGTCAGCCCCTCAGGCTGTATATATAGTAATATAATATAATATAATATAATATAATATAATATAATATAATATAATATAATGATTACAATATAAAAATGATGGCCAGTAATTAGAATATGAATGATACATGCATAAATAAAGTGATTATAATTTTGTATCTCATGGTGTAAGTAACTGATATTAACAAACGGGGTCTTAAACTAAAATGAGAGACATTTGTTCCATTTATAACAGTGTTATAAAGCATGTAATAAAACTTATAAAAAACCAGCATAATTAGGAATTCCATTTATCAATTATAACATTGTTATAAATAGGCAAAATGTCTATCACATTAGCTTAAAACCCTGTAGAAAATAACATTGAAATTTTATTATCGATATTTTGTTACATTGTCAAAAGCTATTCAGAAATGTTTAAGCATTGCTTTATAAATGTGTTATTTAGTGATTATGCATGAGTCATGAAGTCTCTATGTATGCAGCCTTTAAAATTTCAAAACTGAAATTTTAGAATGTACTTCTAAATTTCTAAAACTTCTTCAAGTCAAAAATGTTACTCCATTAACTTCGATTAAAGGTTGAGGAAATTTGCTGCTTCTCATGAAAAGTTACAGTTTTGGACATACAAGGTTTTATTTCCAGTGATTAGAGAGTTGGTGTTTTTGGTGAATGTTTGGTCAGTGCCTGGGCCTTTAATTTAATCCAGTCTGAATAGTCTACATAATGCTGTTTCCTCTGGTCTGCAGCCACTGGACTATGAAAACAGGAAGGCCTACAGTTTTAAAGTGGAGGCATCCAACCCTCACCTGGACTCACGCTTCATGCACCTGGGCCCGTATAAGGACTCAGCCACAGTGAAGGTCAGCGTGCTGGATGTAGACGAGCCACCCGTCTTCAGCAGGTCCTTCTACAACATGGAGACATATGAGGACACACCCATGGGCATCGTTATTGGAGCGGTGACTGCAGAAGATTTGGATGTAGGGGACAGTCCAATCAGGTAAGAAACCATATAAACAAAATACTAATATACGACAATATACTATTTGAAATTTAAAATGCATACTTACTAATAAAGTAGGTGGTTTGGGTCAATATGACTTATGAACAGCACAACCACTGCTAAGTAGTGAATGTAACACAAAATTATGTGTTTGTCTGTTACTTGGTGAATGAAGTAAGTGTGCAGAAATGTGTCTTAAGATATTATTTGACCAAAACTTTTGAGCAGTACTGTATATTTAAGCGATAGAACATGAGAGGGAGTGTGTTATCACGAAATAACATCATGGCTGTGATTTGGTTGCAGGCATGAGCCGAGGGTATGTACTGTAGATCATTTTACTTCTTACTTTGCCACAAACAGAAAATGAATACTTTTAAGATCACATTTGACCGACAGCCGATTTGGTCAGACTCTGAAGATGAGACTACACTAAATTCCCAAACTGTCATCACCACTGAGCAGCTTTTCAGTCAGCAGCTGTGACAGAAGAACACCTAAACAACCTGGAATCAGCCGGAAATGAACCCAATCCCATTCGCCAAACTAAATGGGAGGTAAAAGATTTTACAAACTGGCTGGAACAAAACAACATTAATATTGATCTAGCAAAAATTGACAAAACTGAGCTAAACTTGATATTGTGTTAGTTTTTTGGCTCAGTCTGTACTTCCAAAGGCGAAGATTACAGCAGGATGTGCAGCGAGTGAGTGGAGTTCGTTACTCTGACGTAGCAACAAGCTGCTTGTTAAGGAACTACAATTTGGCGGAAGGAACTGCTAACATTAAACATGTTAAATGCTGCATTCACTGCCCAGTTTATTTATTTCTTACTTCATTTATTTAACGGTTGTATAAAAGCAATAGAACACTTGAGGTGGTGAAATAACATTCGTGATAACACACTCCTTCACACACCCACACACACAAACTCAGAAAAGCACACCTGCATGTAAACAAACAAGCATCGTCCAAAGGCATTCATGCATGAAATTTAAGCACGCATACATATATCCACAGATATGTGTACATTTATGCATGAATGCATGTGTGGACACAAGCATATGCACATATAGACCCCAGAGGGGGCTTAAGCTCCTACCCTCTTCCTTCAGACTGTACAAGTGCCCTCTTGGTCAACATATATTCTAAATAGCCTTTGCTATTGTTGAAGATCCATTTGTGTGAGACACCTCACATCGAGAATAGAGCCAGTGGGTTGGCTTCGGTCGCCCTTGTACAGTCCCCTCTACATTTTGCCTCGGTCGACTTCGACCTGTCATGCATAGATGCATCACCACAGCACTGGAAATCCTGCCAGTGAAGCTTCAATAATATTTCTATGAGAAAGACTCACATTCAGTGTTTTGGTTATTACATTACATTTCATAGTTTGGTTGTTCAACAAGTCAACATAATGTTAGCAGAGAGGGGGTCTTAACATTCCAGGAGGCTGTATTTTAAATATTCAAAGAAATCTGCTGAGATATTTTTCCACACCTGCAAAATTTAGTCTTAGGAGTTGGCTGCTTTTTCTGCTTCTCACGATTCAAATAATCCCAATTAAAACATTTACGCTCATCAATGACTTAACAGTCATGAAATACAAGTTATTTATTTTTTATTTACACTTTTCATCATTTAGTGTGTCCACACTTTACCTTCATCACAGCTTCCATACTTTTCTGGAGATTTCATTTCTTAGGGCTGATGCACAAAACTCATCAAGTCTGGTTTTATTAGACCTTAGTGCAGCCACAAGATTTTAATCCTGTGTTATGAATGCTGTGTCGGCCTCTGGAGCACCGTTTTAGAATTTTTTCAATCATGTTCAGGTAATAGGCAGTTAATGGTTTTAATGGGAAATCATTCATCAAAAAGCTTTGGCATTTCTTATGGAGTCCCACAAGGTTCAGTTTTAGGGCCTTTGCTTTTTCTCTTTGTACATGCTACCTCTAGGCTATGTCATTAGGAAACATAATACAAATTTTCATAGCTATGCTGACGACACCCAGTTTTACATTTCCATTCCTTCTGATGATCAAGACTCTGTAGACAGGCTGACCAGCTATGTGTCAGATATTTCTCAGTGGATGTTGCAAAATTTTCTACAATTAAATTACACTAATCGATCGTACATAAACTCAAAGAAAGCTGCTTCATGAGAAACTTGGTTCTTTAGCTTCATATACCAAACCTGTAGTATGAAACCTGGGTGTGATCTTAGACTCTGAGCTCTGTTTTATCCCGCATGTAAACACAGTCACTAAAGTAGCTTTCGATCATTTGAGAAATATCGCTAAAGTTCGACCTTTTCTGTCTCAGAGCGATGCAGAGAAACTTGCTCATGCATTTGTTACAAGCAGAGTTGATCACTGTAATGATCTTCTTACTTGACTTCCCAAGAAAACAATACATCCTGAATACAACTCATACAAAATGCAGCAGCACAGATCCTAACAGAAACACAACAGAGAGATCAGATCAGTCCCGTTTTCGAAGAACTGCACTGGCTACCTGTATCAATTTTAAAGTTCTGGTACTAAATTTTAAATTGCTAAAATTTTAGTGCTAAATTTTAAGGCTCTAAATGACCTAAAGCACCACTTACATCACAGAGCGTCTGTCTCTTTAAGTTCCAGCATGTGATCTTAGATCTGCAGATACTGACCTTCTACGCACACTTTCTGTAAAATACAGAACACGTGGAGAGAATCGTTCAGTTGTTATGCTTCTAAACTCAGCTCACCTTTTATTGGACAGTCAATCTCAGTGCTCACTTTTACAAAGCATCTAAAAACACATCTCTTTGAATTAGCATTTAATTAAAACTCTACATCTCGTGGTGTTTAGCTTTTAATTTGATCTTTGTCTTTTTCTTATATGTTTCTAAATTATTACTTATAATTTCTATGAATGTCACCTTTATAAGCATCTATAAACACATTTATAACATGTTATAATGTATTCATAAGGCATTATAAACATGGTTATAAATATTTATAAAAAGAATAACTCTGAATTACACTTTATAGCCATGTTTATTATACATTATGAATTGTTAATATAATGCATTATAAATAGTGTTAATAACATGTTATAATGTCAGTGCCAAAGAAGTCAGTCCCAGCTTGGAGAGTGTAAAGTAAAGACAAATACCAAGCTAACGGTGGTGTACATTACCTTTCCCACATTGGGTAAAACACTGATGGCAGTACTAGTTTAAACTCTGACATTTGAAGCCTGTAATGAGCTTTACTGTGTATGTTTTAATGTTTCAGTAAATCCTTTAATAAATACTTCAACTTGAAGCCTCACTCTGAACACTGGAGGAGGCTTTAGTACAGTATGCTTCACTTTACTTAGAGCGGACAAATACGACTTATGAGCTCTTATAATTTGTTATGATCAGTACTTATAATGTATAATGTTAACATTTCATAATGCATAATAAACATGGCTATAATGTGTAATGCATTTTTATAAATATTTATAGCTATGTTTAAAATGTCTTATGAATAACATGTTATGAATGTGTTTATAGATGCTTACAAAGGTGACATTCATAGAAAGTGTTACCATAATTTCTTGTATTACTGTTAAACTTTATTTCATGCCACCGGCATGAAAAGTGCTATATAAATAAAAAATATTGTTATAATTATCATTATTCTTAACAGCTATACATCTTTTCAGACCCATAGCGCTGAGTTGTCTTCTCACCGTGGAAAGATGGACAGATCGGATTTTTGAAGCAGGTTGATTTTCTCCTCTCTCTCAAAGATGAAAGCTTTAAGTGCTGTTTATTTGATGGGGACAGTTTTGGTGTCTACCAGATCCTGCACAGTTGTTAAGAGCCTTTTTTGTCTATGTGTTTAATCAATTTTTGAACTCCAGGTTTGGAAGCTCCTATTTGACTTATTGACAGTTTTGACTGGAAATGTAATAAATTAAGGGCCTGTGTCTTTTGTAAAACAAGCAGGCATGCACACATTTATTCTTCTAAGAAATCCCTCCATAAGCTCATACATACACATTCATAAGGCAGAAAGAGAGATTTTAACCTTTCCTGGCATTTAAAGCTGCGTGTGGTTGTTCTTGGGTGTTTCTTCTGAACACATTCCCCTCTGACTGAATCCAATCTGACAAACTTCTACTGTGGTTTGTCGCTGGCAAGTGGATTTATTGTGGCATGGAAAGTTTTTTCCCCTTTTTTTCTCCAGGTGAGAAGCTATAAGAGGGGGAGGGACGGTGTGGACATTAAGAGTGCGATAGTATGTGTGTAGTATGTCACAAACCATGTCATCTTTACAAAAGTATTTGTTTTTGGATGAAAATTTCATAAAGAGGGACTTTGTTTGGCAGTAAACTCAAGAGACTCGCATGTCTTTAATATTTCACCACCGCACATTAGCTATTATTCTGCTGGTGGTTGGATTACAATAGTACACCAGTGTGCAGCATGGAACATACTGGCCTAAGAGTAATCCGTGGATAAAGAATGGTGGTTTAAAACAAGCTGGCACAACATGTGCTTTTGTTCTGTGTTTACACATCTCAGCTAACCCTCCCGTGAAAATGATTGAAGATGACTGGGAGGCATTTAGGGCTGTCACGACTCCTCGATTAAAGAAAGTAATCAATTTAGGCTGTCACAATAGACCTCTGAAGTCATACGTCATGCTGTTGTCGGCATCATGCCCATGTTTGGAACTCTGGTTCTAAGCAGTTTTTCTTTATGAGAAAGAAGAAGGTGTTTCTGAAAATTGCTGCTATTGAGTTCTGTGGTAAAGATACATTTACAGCATACACTCTCATCCAGAGCGACTTACAATTTGATCATTCTTTTGCACAGGCAGTGTTAGGAGTCTTGCCTAAGGACTCTTGTTGGTATAGTGTAGGGTGCTTACCCAGGCAGGGATTGAACCCCAGTCTACAGCATAGAAGGCAGAGGTGTTACCCACTACATTATACCCACCACATACACATACATATACGTGTTTTAGGGCTGTACACGAATATTCAACTATTTGGATATTTGTTCATCGGGTTGGAATTCGGATTTTCATTTTGGGATTTTAGACTATTAGTAAAAGCAAACTGCAAAATACTGTAATATTCGAGGTTCTTGATCCACAACACAGCTCTTCAACATAAAAGACCTTGTGTGAATGAACCTAAAACAGCCCAATATAAAACATTTCTGTAACACTTTCTGTGAACATCATGTTTGTAAGCATCTATAAACACATTCATAACATGTTATAATGCATTCATAAGCCATCAAAAACATGGCTATAAATATTTATAAAAATGCACTATACATTATAGCCATGTTTATTATGCATTATGAATTGTTAACATAAAACATTATAAGTACTGATCATAACAAATTATAAGAGCTCATAAGTTGTATTTGTCTGCTCTAAGTAAAGTGAAGCATACTGTACTAAAGCCTCCTCCAGTGTTAAGAGTGAGGCTTCAAGTTGAAGTATTTACTGAAACACTAAAACATTCACAATAAAGCACATTACAGGCTTCAAATGTCAGAGTTTAAACTAGTGCTGCCATCAGTGTTTTACCCAATGTGGGAAAGGTAATGTACACCACCGTTAGCTTGGTATTTGTCTTTACTTTACGCTCTCCAAGCTGGGACTGACTTCTTTGGCACTGACATTATAACATATTATTAACACTATTTATAATGCATTATATTAACAATTCATAATGTATAATAAACATGGCTATAAAGTATAATTCAGTGTAATTCTTTTTTATAAATATTTATAACCATGAATACATTATAACATGTTATAAATGTGTTTATAGATGCTTACAAAGGTGACATTCATAGAAAGTGTTACCAAAATTAGCAGTACTGTGGTGTAGTTTAGTGATGTTACAGAGTGAAGGGTTCTAGTGCTTGAACAAATCACAATGACAGCACTCTACTACCTCGACTCTCCCTCTCCAGGCCTTCACAGTAACTTCATGTTCATCGTGAAGTCAGAGGGGGTTCAGCGGGAGGGGCTCATGGGTACTTGGTTTGCTGTGATGTAATGTAACATTGAAAGTGAGAGGTTTCTTGGTAAGAAAAGTACAGTGTAGCAGTCATTCTAGGCTGGACAACCTGATTGGAGCATCTGAATATTCAGGACTGAAGCCCTGAAAATGCAGCACTAACAGCACCAGCAGTGAGAAATAAAATATTGGAAATCCCAGGTCATAAATAAACTTTGTATTTGTCTGTACTTTACGCTCTCCAGGCTGGGACTGACTTTGGCACTGACAGTATAACATATTATTAACACTACTTATAATGCATGATATTAACTATTCATGATGTATAATAAACATGGCTATAACATGTAATTCAGTGTAATTCATTTTTATAAATATTTATAGCCATGTTCATAATGCCTTATGAATGCACTATATGTTATAAATGTGTTTATACATGCTTACAAACGTGACACTCATAGAAAGTGTTACCAACATTAAAAAAAAAAACAGAACTACTTACACTGCAGCTTAGCGACACCACACTATGTTTTTTCAGCACATTCTTGCATTATATTTATACTTTGTTATACTTTGTTACTAATTGCACTGTTAAAATGTGGAAATATACACCATCTCAGCTTAAGCGCCTGCCATATTGCTCACTCCCAATAGTTAGTACACACTCATCCTCATGCTACCACAGTGCTAGACAGCTTGTATTCCCAGGGCAGCTAAGTAGAACCATTGCCTTTACTAAAGAACCCATGTAGAACCATCTTTTTTAAATGTTCAGTACTGTGCAAAGGTCTTAGGCAGCCATAACAATGGTTTAAAACTAATTATCACAGTGTTATTTGTGTTTTAGCTAATAAAAACACAAACTTGAGAATAACAAATAAACATAAATTCAAGTATATCTTATTTTCAGTAAAGTTTTTTAAAAATATTGCTTAGAAGAATGAATTTTGAAAAAACACAGGTTTAGTTTCTAACAGCCTTTTAAGGATTTTATCAATTCCACCAGCAACTCATTTGATTTATTTTAATGAAGGATGATTAGACAAAGTAGAAATTGTCAATGTATTATGTATTTGTTTATTTGTATTTATTCTGATGTTAGTGTCTTTTTAACAAATAAAAATAGCTTTACAGTGTTTACAGTGCTGAATATCATCAGATTAAAAGAGGATAAAGAGGATAGAATGGTAACACTTTCTATGAATGTCGCCTTTGTAAGCATCTATAAACACATTTATAACATGTTATAATGTATTCATAAGGCATTATAAACATTGTTGTAAATATTTATAAAAAAGAATTACACTGAATTACACCTTATAGCCATGTTTATTATACATTATGAATTGTTAATATAATGAATTATAAGTAGTGTTAATAACATGTTATAATGTCAGTGCCAAAGAAGTCAGTCCCAGCTTGGAGAGCGTAAAGTAAAGACAAATACCAAACGGTGGTGTACATTACCTTTCCCACATTAGGTAAAACACTGATGGCCGCACTAATTTAAACTCTGACATTTGAAGCCTGTAATGTGCTTTATTGTGTATGTTTTAGTGTTTCAGTAAATCCTTCAGTAAATACTTCAACTTGAAGTCTCACTCTTAACACTGGAGGAGGCTTTAGTACAGTATGCTTCACTTTACTTAGAGCGGACAAATACAACTTACAGCTCTTATAATTTATGATCAGTACTTATAATGTATTATGTTAACAATTCATAATGCATAATAATAATGGCTATAATGTATAGTCCATTTTTATAAATATTTATAGCTATGTTTATAATGTCTTATGAATGCATTATAACATATTATGAATGTGTTTATAGATGCTTACAAAGGTGACATTCATAGAAAGTGTTACCGATAGAATTAACATTTTTTTAACTTTGATTGCTCAATTACAGGTCAAAATAATAGATCAATTATTCAGTTATTATCATAATTAATAATGACAGCTCTAGCAGCAAAAATTTGAGACAGAAACAGTCATGGCTGTTTCAGATTGTTTGGTCAATGCCGCTGAGATAGCAGTGCAGTTAGGCTGGGTCCCATAATCTCCCATCTGGTCTGTTTTCTTATTTCTGCTCTGCAGGTATTCCATTGAGTGGAAGAAGGATGCCGAAAATTACTTTGACATCGACCCTGTCGAGGGCACCATAACCACCAGCGAAGCCCTGGACCGAGAGCGAGCGGCCAAACATAACATTACTGTTGTTGCGACTAAAGTTAGTAAGTATGAGACCACTGAGAGAAACTGATGGCATGAGATGAGAAATATAAGGCCAATGTATCAGTAAGTCTGCTGCTGAACTATATTGCTTTGAAAGCATTGACATTAATCAGTGTCAGCTGTTCACTTAAGCTAATGCTTGGCAGAGCATGATGTCACCATCTAGTGGACAAAAGTGGGGAATGCAGTGATAGAGCCCATGGCATGCATACTTATGCAAAGTCCAGTGTGAACATTCTTGAAACCAGCTGTTAATTATATCAGTAATTATCCTGCAGTTGAAATTACATTTAGTTCAATAGTGTTTGGCAGAATTCTAATGTAGACTTGAGCGGAGTGGCTTTAATGGGTACTACATTCAATTTGTCATCTGTAGTCAAGACTACACTAAAACACACTATGTAGAAGCTCTGTACTAAACACTAATTCTAACTCGTGTAGGATGCAAAAGTTTTGGCGCCCTGCTTAAATAACAATTTGTTGATTTTGTTGATTTTCCAAGTGAACATAAGTGAACACTTTCTCTACAGAGAGCACACTTTACTACACTTTACTGGTTATTTTCTGAGTATAACATATTAGGGACAGAAAATGAAACCTAATATGTGGCCTGTGCAAAAGTTATAGCACATTTTATATTGTATGTCTTATTTTTTCCAGTGTGATACTCAGCAGATAAATAGAAATTGAGAAATTGTGCACTACAATTTGCAGAAAATGCCATAATAAAGTTCGCTGTAGAGGTTTTTCCACTTATTTTTGCTTCAAAATAATCAACATAACATCTGATTAGGGGTATTCAAACTTGGCATATTCACAAGTGCTAAAATTGCAAGTACTCAAAGATGTGTACTAACAATTGATGCATTCAGCAAAGATTTTTTCAGCAGGGTATTGATGGACAATATTGTCCCACAATGCATTGTGAGCTGGCTCAAGGCTAGAAGACTTTGCAAATGTGGCGAATGCCTGGCTGAGTGCTGCTTCACTTACTCACTTACACTAAAACAGTTATTTTCTGAATTCAGTTGTATTTTCAAAGTAGCCAACAGGGTCATAACTTGATGAAACCATTAAAACTTCCATGCATTGTTATCAACATGCTATTCAGCTAACATTAGTGATATGTGTGACAGTGTTCATGATGTATTTATTTTCTCAACACCGCAAACTTTATAGTCAATGTTACAGATTTAACCAGCCACTGTGTCTATATGCTGGCTGATCTATGTATCTATGCTATTTACAAAGCAATTCTCTAGTTTCCAAGAAGGAATTCACAGCTGGTGAGACATTTTCTTAGGCTTTCTTAGTCTGAGGTGGGAAATTCTGAGTGTCAAGCTTTAGTAGAGCACATCATTACCTGGTAATTAAAGTCCTACACTATAAAGATTAGTATACAATACAGATCAGATAGAGCACAGCTGTTATAATATATGGTATATGCATAGTTATAGCATAAGTGTTTAGTAAAAAAATTGGGGAATGTCTAATGGTAAATTTATATATTAGCCTGACAGATTGCTGGTGGTAACACTTGAAATGTTCCTCTACAAAATGGGACCACCCTCAAATAAAGAAGAACATTACTTTATTAACAGGCTGCTCTGTAGGTGACCCTGCCAGTCTGCAGTGATAACAGAGGAGGGTAAAGATCAACAACCTCACTGCTGGGCTTTAGTTACATTTAGGGTATCATATGCCATCAGAGATAGCCTCTGTGTGAGCCTGATAGGGATGGGGTGCGGCAGTTATTTATTATCGTCCACCCCTAATTCTTCGGTGATATAAAGCTGGAGTTAGCTATTCACCAGCTTCTTATTCTAATTTTTCTGTTCCACCTTAAATGGTTTACAGTTAAGGTTAAGGTGGAATGGTACATTTAGCAAACTAGCTACCAAGACATCAGCACTACTAGCAATTTTTTATGCTTGATGTGAAAAAAGGGCCATAATTTATTGAAACAACATTAAACTAAGATAAAGCTTATCGTAGTTTTTTAACAGAGAAAATACTCATACTTGTGGGTCTCATTGGTCACTCTATCTACCCCTTATCTCAACAAAAATCATGACACCCTACCCCTGGCGTGAACGCACAAAAATGGAGGGGTAGAGATAAGTGGTAGGGGCAAGGAGTGAAATGGGGTTGGGCTTTGGACTTTAACCATTTTGCTTTAAGGGACCCTAAACCTTAATCATGTTTATTTTATTAAAATGTATATTTTGATTTTGGCACTACCAATACAATCATAACACTACCACAACTTTACCAAATGTTTTGGTAGTGACAATTTAGCTATGTTTAAGCAGAATTCAAGAACACATGACTAGGAAACACAGCTGTGAGCAGTTGCACACACGTAAAATCACAATACAGGGCGATTCAAAAAGATTCATCTGATTTCAAAAGGATTTATTTCACTTGCAGTAAACTGTAAATGGTTTAAGTGAGCATAAAGTTTATTATGTAATTTTACAAGGTCTCAGTATGAACCTCCTCCAGCTGTACGGACAACATCAACACCATAGTCAAATTCATCCCATACTTGATTGAGCATGTCGGGTGTCGCTGCACTCACGGCTCTTTCAGTGCGATTTCAGAGATCATCCAGTGTTGTGGAACCAACGACGAACGCTCTGAGCTGCTGGAGCTTCACTGCCCACGAAAATCACTCTTCACTCTTATTGAAATGGAGAGCGCAAAACGCTTTCTGCTCAGGGGTCTCATCTCCTCTCAGACTGAAGGGAGCCATCTTCCACTGACAGTCAGAAACTCTATGACCCCCTCTTTCAATTATAGTGTGATTGGTTCCTTGGCTCCTCACGGTTGTAAAAATATGGCGCTTTGAAATCGGATGATTCTTTATGAATCACCCTGCTATTTTATTTAAAACACAAAAAAAGTTCATTTAATTGCAGAAAATACAGTTTCAGTAGTGACAAATATTCTCAAATACTGAATTACAGACTGTGGGACACGTTTACTTCATAGCTAAAATGGCATAGCCAAAATAAGGCTCCACCTATAGAGTAACATTTTGTGTGTTTTGGTATTGACATGAAAATGTGGGATATCAATGAAACTTGTTTAATTAAGAAATAAAGTCATTATAAACATATTAAGCTCTAAATTAATGCCTTGGGTTGAAAAAGATCTTTACATTATCCTTGTGAATATCTAAGGTCTGAATACTTAATTGTTTGATATAATGATCCATATTTCAAATTACAAGATAACCAAAAATCAGATCATTTAGGATGTTTTAATAAGCTGAAAGGTACAGACATGTTTTATTTCAACTGCCTACAAATGAAATGATGCATGTAGTACTAAAATTAAACAGCAGGTGTCAGTGTTTAACACTTCATGGTTCTGTACTAGAATGTGTTTAGGGTGTTCAGCTATGAGCTCCATGTGTCAGTGTGTGTGTGTGTGTGTGTGTGAGCCTGATGCATGGACACTGCCTGCTTTGATCTTTCAGACAACCCCCTGCTGTACAGTCGAGTTAGTGTCACCATCAGCGTGCTGGATGTCAATGAATTCCCCCCGGAACTCTCCCACCCTTACGAGGCGTTTGTTTGTGAAGATGCAAAAGTAGGCCAGGTAAGTAGGTGAGAGAGAGAGAGAGAGAGAGAGAGAGAGAGAGAGAGAGAGAGAGAGAGAGAGAGAGAGAGAGAGAAGGGGCAATGTAACTGGATGTGAGCTGTTGCCGATGCTTCGGAGGCGATAATGAGCGTTTTGGGAAAGAGAACTGATAAAGAACCAGAGAGGATGAATTCAACTTTAAGCAGCTCATTAAATGATATTAAATTCTATTTACATGTAATGATTTATTAACTTTTACTGTTAAACAAAAGTCAAACTTTTTAAAAGTTTTTAAAAGGTTTACTCCTCTTGGATGGCTTATTATTGATACATAATCTGATATTCATATCAAATATGCTACTATAGCACAGAGCTCACATTTTTCCTTTGAAAACACAGGCTTTCTTAGAACACCTGAAAAAAAAAAATAAATTGTGGAACGTTTCAGCTTCGTTTTGTACATCCCAAATGAGCTTGAACCTATCATGGTCCAATTTATTAAATCTGCAAATAAGTTGATTATAACAGGCAACAGGATACTTGTTTTACGGCTACAGGACATGGCTGCTCTAACATAGCCTACTTGTTTGAAACGTTTAGATTGTGCAGTAAAATAGGTAAATGATGTTGGTGTATAAGTTACAATGGTGTCAGAATTGTATTCCACATTTATCTAATAAACTATCAAATGTGGCATTTGGAGCTATTCTAGTAGTAAGTACAATGCTACATCACTACCGCTACCACTAGCACAGCACAGGTTTATTTTATCGCACTGAAACCTCACTGATGCAGGTTCCCAGGATAAAACCTCAAGGGGTACTTTAAGGAGCATCATCAATAAGTCATTGGCAAATATTCCACTTTCTCTGCTTTCTAAAATGTTGCCGCAGTCAAATATGGGTGAATCCCAGAGCTCCTCCACTGTAACGATGGAAAACCCCTATTTTTGTTTTATTGTGTAAGGAGCTTGGAATAGGGAAATGGAACTCACTCATTTACTCAAGCATGCTTAGCAGTTTGAAGTTTTTCCAGCAGGGGGAGGTAATACCATGTAAGTAATAAGCAGAATCTCACAAACATGTTTGCAACTTTCAAAATAGTTAATTACCAAAATGTAAGGACTTACTCAATATTACATTATTTGATATGGATTTTTTTATAAACCCCTTATCACAGCCTTCTATAGAAGAATAGAATAGCTCAGCCAGTTTACACTGATTTCACTTTAGATTGCCTTACTACATAATAAGACTGGGGTTTTAAGTGGATAAGTCAACTAATGCATATAAAATGCATATAAAATGTATATAAGCTTAATATGTTGGTATTTAAAATAGCAAATTACAAGCAAAGGTAGCATAGAAACTATGTAAGGTCTAAACGATAATCAATAATGCTGATTCATTAAAAAGAATACATCATATTAATTATTTTTAGACATCGCTCAGCGTGTACGCATGCCCACAGAGATACTGAGTGTCTGTATGTGTGTGAATGTGACATGGAAATAAGAGACAGAGGGAGTGTTACCTGTGTGTGTAGGTGTATGCTGAGGTAGTGGCACAGTTGTTCAGGGCTGTTGTGGGTAAAAATGTGTGAAACGTACCTTGATCTTGCCTTTTCTTACTGAAAGAGTGCCACTCTCGCACAACTCTGGGAGCCCCCCTCGAGCTTTCGCTTCACACAGCGCCGACAGCACACGAGAAGCTGCTATGTTTCAATGAACTACCAAAAAAGAATCCGTCTGACGGAGAGAAGAGGAAAAGTCCTCTCCACCTGGAAGCAGATTTAAAAAAAAAAATAACAATAATAATAAAAAAAAATGAAGCAAGCTAAAATAATACCACACATTCACTTTTGGTCTGCTTTGTGGCCTTTAACACAACTGATCGACTCAAGGGCTGTAAAATCTACCGGAGATATTATATCTCTGTTTTTAGACTTCATAATTCAAAATCCATCAAATATACAGACATGATCCACATATCAGATCAATCAGCAGGATCCACCCTCTCTTGCCCACATGGTTTCACTGACATGCACAAAAGTGACCAAGTGGGATCAGGGGTCGGATTCACGAAAGTGTCTTAAGAAAGAAAATCGTAAATATGTGTTTTTTTCCTAAGTTACAAGAAATTGTTATCAATTCAAATAACTTCTTCAGAACGATTTTAAGAACAAGTGGGATTCTTGAAAGTATTATGTCTTATTTTTTTTTTTTCTTAACCTTACGACAGCGTCACCTGTCTTTTGGCTGTAAGAGTTAAAAAGGTCTAAATTTATCACGGACACTGCATCTGCCTCTCTTGCCCATCGGCCTTGGTCACCCTACAATTATCATATTTTCTAATAAGATTTTTTTTTCTGCTGCCTGTTTCACAAGAACTCCAGTTCTTGTTTGCTAAATATTTTAAATGCTTGGTTTGATGTTTTTTCTCCATTTTGCTCCTCTGAGCAGGTTAAACTAAATAATGTAAATAAAAGTTAATAAAAACACAAATGTATCTTGTGTTAATTATGGTACTTGGTAAAATGTAATGTAGCCAACATAAGAAAATAATGAAGATTATCTTTAGAATTTTAAGAATTGCATTTAAGAACATCTTATGAACTTCTTAGTGTTAGTCTTAAGAACCTAAGTTTTTTTCATAAGAAAGCTTTTGTGAATCTGGCCCCAGGTTACAGAATTGATCCTAGAGAGCTGAAGCATGTGCTGAACATCTGCTGTCAGCTCGTTGTGGTTGTCTTAGTTACAGATAGACAGAGATCTAGCTGGAGAGCTGTGAGCTCTGACCTACTCCTGCTCAGTACAGAGAATCAGTGCATCAGACTCATTAATTTCTTAAGCATCAGAGCAAAAAAGGGTCAAATGGCAGAAGGGGTAAATTGCGGTTTGGGGGGGGGTTATGTTTGGGGGAGGTCACTGTGCTTGTAGTGGGATAGTCTAGACAAAATACAGGGCTAAATTTGGTTTCCAGTCCAACCCTGGCTTACACAAATTACTTACACTAATAAAGTCATATTATTTCAACTTTGTTCCAACATCAGGCCTAACATTATATAACAATGGCCCATTGCAAGTTTAATGGGCACGAATATCCACTGGGCTTTTTCCAACTAGTGATCATGAAGCCACCTTCGTCTATCTTCTTTCCTAAGAGGTTGATGCTAATGGCCTTCCTACTTGGCTGTTGACCACCACAAACTGTACATTTACAAGAAACACCTCAGAGACATTTGATGGCTTAAAAGCTAAATACACTTTTCATTTCCCAGTTTTAGCCATGATTTCAAAATATGGTAACTTTGTGAAAAAAACGGTGGATAAAGTTGACTCACTCAATCTCATTAGCAAGTTAGCTTAGTAAGTAATCTTAGAGCTTGGTTGGATTTTTATGGTTGCATTTCCCAGCATAGCCTCACCAGATTTCATTGGGTTTAAGCTTCACTTAATGAACTTTTCTCATTAAAACATCCATCCTTTGTTGTTGTTTCCTCTTTTAAGTGAACAGACAAGATAAACATATCAGAAACTATTGCAGAACATCAGTGTCGTTCATGCGTCTATGTGAGCAGTTCTTTTTGACTCCCGCTGCATTTACATGAAATATAAAAGATAAATGAAAACAATGTGCCCTTCATATGAACTCTGGCTATGCAATTAATTGTGAAAATGATCACAAGATCACTTGATGAATAACCTAATGGATAGTGACAGCCTTAGTCTGTATTCATTGTAAGGTTGGCTTTATACTGATGTCCTCCACTTGTTTGCTGTTACCAAAGCTATAAAAAACCATTCCTAGCACACAGTAGGTGTTCCATCACTATGAAAGAGAATATATTCAGGTATCGTCATGTCCTGACACTATTTGTCTTGACACACGTCAGTCTTCCCTGCGTGCACACGTTGTAGCCTTTGATCTGCCCGGCATGGTGCTGCTCTAATGTCCTCTCATTGCAGTGTTAGTGGAAACCCCAAAAGATTGTAAATCATTGCATCAGAATCACTTGTCTCTTCAGTTTAATCAGCAATAATGAAAGATACCTGGAGTTGAACTGCTTTAAAACATTGGTTTGGTGAAAAATGATTGTACCAATTTTTCTTTTTGCCCCAGATATTAAACACTCAAGATATATTTAGTGTCTAACATTTAATTCTTCAGTTCATCAGTAGAGCTCTGAGGCTGTTGGAGCTAAATGTAGTGAATAGATCACCCCCTGCTGTCTAAGTTCAAAACACTACCAACCAGTAGATGAACTGGAGGTGATTTTAGGTTGTAAGGCATGCAATGTCGTCCTCATATTCAGTTATATTTGATACTATGGTAATTGTCTATGTATGTAACTGACAATCAATGCAGTTTTATATGCAATATATAAGCAAGAAGAGTCTGGACTCTGGGGTGGCCAATCTATTGTTCTGAGAACACCAGCAGCTTCTTTGTCTTGCTTGCAAATTGTCTTCTGTTTTTGTCTACTTCCTTTTCTCAGTAAGAGCTTCTTGACAGCTACATCTCTTTTCAAAGCTGTTGCCTTCTCACAGTGGAAGGATGGACACAAACACTTGTGGAAATAAGTTGTACTTGATGCTTGTTTTGACTGGAGATGAAATGATACATTGTGGTATCTGACTTTTGCACTGTATTGTATATTTTAATTTTCTCGTTATTTGGCTCACAAAATATTGTGCTGTTATATATGTATTTGTGGATTTTGTGCTTGTGTGGACACAACATGACCGTTCCAGTTTACAGTTTGAGTAGTTCTAACATGCCATTGCTTATTAGCTACATTTGCCTTGTAGCTCCAGTGCAAAACCACAGACACAAACTTCAGACATTAGATTATACTATTTGGCCAAAAATAAGTGGACAGCCACTCCAGCGGCCTGCACAGAGTCTTAATGTCAACCCCACTGAACATATTTGGGATGAATTGGTGCGTAGATTGCGACCCCTGACTTTGGAATGGGATGTCTAACAAGCTCATAAAGGTGTGATGGTTAGGTGTCCACATATTTTTGGCCATATAGTGTATCTGTCAGCAAAAACATCCAGACTTAAACTCTTTTAACTCCTTGAAATCTCATATTTATTGCACACTAAAACGTATTAAATTATTTAGTAACTGAAGGGACTTCGATGCAAAAAATATATATATATACATAAGTGTGTAAAACTACTTTGGGCCTTCTGGCCATTTTAGGAGTTAAGTAATCTCAAACAGACCTGCTTATGTGGTTTCAGGCACTTGTTATCTATAAAGCTGGAAACAAAGTATAAGTCGCTTTATAGATGACAGTATGTCTTTATAGATAGCAATGTAGCTACATTAGCCTCAGAGTTACAGTGCAACACTTAAGAAGCAAACTTCAACACCAGATATATCTTGGCTGATTGACTATATTAGAGGTAAATGTAGAAAACTGAGTAAACATTTAGTTTTCACTGAACTATTGTGTTAAAGGTAGCTGTGATCAGCCTTCAGCAGCTTGATATTAATGGGGCGAATGAACTATTAAAGATTAGTCGTGAGTCAGATTCATGCTGGTAGAGCTATTTGTCTCATCTGTGCTTTCCAGCTCTCACTGAGAATTTATTTCAGCACATTAAGCTTCAGCTTCAGCCCGAGTCCCTTCGTACGATGGTCTGTATCCACTTTCACATGTTGTCAGTTTAGGATATGTCTGTGAAATTGATTTTTGCTTAAGAAGTGGATAAAGAAACAGACAAATAGACCTGTTTACCTTGAGCGGATTTGTTTGCCTGCAGTTAACTCTTTAAATGGTTGGAAGCTGCCAGTGAGTCCAGGATTCTATTCTTCATTTTTATTTATTTATTTATTTATTTATTTATTTATTTATTTATTTTTTAGTGGTGCATGACTCAGTGATTTGGCACTGCTTTTCATAGAGCTGCTCAGTGATAAGCCTTGGGATGCAATAAGCCTGGGAATGCAAGGAATTAACAGTTTGAAATGGTTTTGTTTTTCTAGTCCAATGCCCACTCCAAATGTGTAATGTTCTAGATTCAAGAACAAATAATAATGTTAAAAACAGAGGAAATTCTAATGATGCGGAAATGATTCAGTTTGCTGGACGAATGAATAAAAATCTAGTCATTTATTGGTGTTAACTTCACGCAAAAGCTTCAAACCACATGCCATGATAAGCTAATCCAAATTTTACATATAATATATTCTCCTTGCTAACGAAACATATTGTTAGTAAATGGCTAACGACACTTTATTTTTTCTGTTGCCATAAAGTTTCTTTGCAGCTTGAGATGCACTTGAGTTTTAGCCTAAAACTTGCGTGGTGGTGGTGTGTTAGTGTGTGTTGCGCTGGTCTGAGTGGATCAGACACAGCAGTGCTGCTGGAGTTTTTAAACACCTCAGTGTCACTGCTGGACTGAAAATAGTCCACCAACCAAAAATATCCAGCCAACAGCGTCCTGTGGGCAGCATCCTTTGACAGACTAGAGGATGACCAACACAAACTGTGCAGCAGATGAGCTGTCATCTCTGACTTTACATCTACAAGGTGGACCAACAGGTAGGAGTGTGCGATACAGTGGACAGTGAGTGGACACAGTGTTTAAAAACTTCAGCAGCACTGCTGTGTCTGATCCACTCAGACTAGCACAACACACACTAACACTCCACCACCATGTCAGTGTCACTGCAGTGCTGAGAATGATCCACCACCCGAACAATACCTGCTCTGTGGTGGTCCTGTGGGGGTCCTGACTATTGAAGAACAGATGGACTACAGTCTGTAGTTGTAGAACTACAACATACTCTTATATGATCAGTGAAGCTGATAAAAAGGACAATGTGCTGCGAGTGTATGTTTATTGATCACAGGGTCAATTCATAGAAATAAATATATACATAGTTGCCATGTGGGCGAAGCTTCGTATCTCGACTGCTGCCCTTTAGCTTGTGTCAAATTTGCTTGATGAATGGACCAATAGAAATGGCCCAAAGTTGCTTTGATTCAATAGCTTCTCCATTAACTTCCATTAGATGTTAAGGACGTTTTTTGCCTTCTTTTGTAAAATGTCTTTTTGGAGATCTCTGTCTAATATAGCTATTAACTGTTGGAAAGAGGGCATAAAAGCTAACTTGCTGTAACTTCTACTGGCTTAGTTTGGCTGTTGGCTGCATTAAAACACAATTTAAAAGTGGTATTACTTCCTTTTGGATATTTCTGCCATCATTACAAAAATAGTGCCTTTTTGATAGAAGGAGTCATGAAAATGTAGGCAGTCATTGATGACAGTAAGTCAAATAAACCAATTAGGGGCTTTTATTTGCATTAATTGTTTCAGAGGGAAGTCAGCAGGGTTTGTCTTAAACTGACATAGCGCAACTCCGTCCTCTGTTTAAGAGTAGCAGTTCACGGTGGTCTTTTTCCCAAACGCAAAACATCAGGGAACATATGCCACAGAACACTTTTATCCAACGCCTCAGCTTCCTGTATTGCACTGGAGGCAAATAAAAAGCAACCACTTTCTGAAACATGCATCTGAAATAAATACATATTACTCAAAGTTGACAGGAACAAAATTGTGGGTGTAACACTAATGTAAAATAGCATTTTATATATATATATTATATATATATATATATATATACTTTACAGCCTCTCTGGCATTTGACTGGCATGTTTTCTTTCTTTCGTGTGCAGGTGATAGAGATTCTCAGTGCTACGGACAGAGACATGCCTCATGTAGGACACAGATTCTTCTTCAAATCTCCACGAGACATCAGGAACAGGAACTTCACCATCAGGGACTATGGAAGCAAGTATTACTTTTTGCTAATATGCCATTAAAAATGGAATCTACATGTCATTTGTTATGCTCAGCCCTGTGTTGTGCCTCACTGTGTGTTCGGTCTGAAACATGCAAAACAAACTTCGGACTGAACAAACTTTGGACTGACAAGTTTGTACAGCAAAAGTTGTTTTTCCTCAGGGACATGGGGAAAAATAGCTTTCAGATAAATAGATCCTTTGGAATGCTGCCCTGATCCCTTTGCTTTCTTACAGCCAGGAACAGTACAACATTCAATCATATCCCCATCTACGTTAGTTTTATATATATATATATATATATATATATATATATATATATATATATATATATATATATATATATACCGATCAGGCATAACATTATCACTGCCTCCTTGTTTCTAAGCTCATTGTCCATTTTGTCCAATATAGGTGCACTTTGTAGTTTACAATTACAGACTGTAGTCCATCTGTTTCTCTGCATACTTTGTTAGCTCCCTTTTACTGTGCTTCAGTGGTCAGGACCCCCATGGACCCCCATGGACCCTCACAGAGCAGGTACTGCTGCAGTAACACTGATGTGGTGGTGGTGTGTTAGTGTGTGTTGCGCTGGTCTGAGTGGATCAGACACAGCAGTGCTGCTGGAGTTTTTAAAACACCTCAGTGTCACTGCTGGACTGAGAATAGTCCACCAACCAAAAATATCCAGCCAACAGTGTCCTGTGACCACTGATGAAGGACTAGAGGATGGTCAACACAAACTGTGCAGCAGCAGATGAGCTATCGTCTCTGAATATATATATATATATATATATATATATATATATATATATATATATATATATTCTTTTTTTTTTGACATTTCATTCAAAATATTAGCAGAAAGAGTCAGAAAAGGCTAAATCCTATCATGAACTCAAATGAAGTACCAACAGAAATAAAATCGAGTCTACAAAATTGGTGCCACTTTGCACTTTGCAATTTTCAAAATTTCATCTTTTTGTTTTTATTCACAATATGAAAGATATGTCAATCCTCTAAAAACATATTTTCCCACCTCAGGCCTGAAATCCCTACTAATATTATCCTTGTGTTACATGAAATAAATCTTGGTTTCTATTTGTTAAATAGCCTTTCTTGAAAACGATCATTAGAATGTATGTAATATTATCTTTTTTTTTTGTTTGTTTGTTTTTTTTCAGATTCTCAATCTTGAAATATGAATTTGACATGTCAATGGCTTCAGTTTTTGTACAAAAATACTAATTCACTTTGAAATTTCAAAAAAAGTTACATTTATTTGATTAGTTCACAAATCAAGAATGTTATTTAACATTATTTTATGGTACATTTCACTCCCTTTCCATCATTTTTAACAAAATGATCCTGCGATGGGGGTGACTGATGTGATGGGTGGTTTACTGTGACAGAGTGTTATGGAATCTCTCTATATGATCTATTGGTTTAAGTCTTCATCTACGATTAGAAACTCCTGATAATTCTGGATATAAATGGAGGCACAACTTAATGATACAAGATCCAAAATATATATATCAAAATTAGGCTTTATTAATACAAAAGCATGCTAGAAAAAAAAAAAATAATGCAAATATATGTGTCTTGTACTAAATTAAATAGATACTCAACATTCAAAATGTGAATAAAAAAGATGAAAATTTTTTGATGCAAATATGATGTTGGTCGGTATGGACATGTGAAGACAGCCAGGGACAAATGATCAAAAATAGTGAAGCTACTCTTTAAGAATAATATTTTCTCATATATCATGTTAACAAGAACACTTGAATTAACAGCTTTAAGCTTAAGAAACACACCTTGTCACATTTTTCAAACATTGCGGATACAAAAGGCCACCCCAGTTCCCTAACCTAAACCCCATTAGATCAGATTTGTGTTAATATTTTGAATGAAAGATCAAAAGGATAAGCAATAAAGAATGTTTTTACAGCCTGTTTTGCTCATGTTCACCATGGACGCCAATATTTGTGGAGGGCACTCTGTAAAAGCATTCTTTTATCATGGAACATTAGTGCTATGAAAGGCAGTCACGTCCCATGGTGTTGCGCCTGATCCGTCTGTACAGCTGCTCACAGCTTTCTTCGCAGTGGTGGCACCCTGAGCCCCAGAATTTCCCGCGTTTCAGAGTATCAGCTGCTCTGATGTAGAGCGACAGGGTGACTCAGGGTGGCACGGGGCAGGCAAACGCAAGGTGCACCAACGCCTCCCGCCCTGTCAGGAGAGATCGGCCGCCAGCCTGGGCGGAAATAACTCCAAACGACGGGGTCACTGACCTCACAGCCTAAGACTGGCATGTCTCCACACGTCGAGCTGGGCCTGAAAACCCCAGCTTCAAGACCCTAGCCCCCCGAGGCAGCCCAATGCGGCTTTTCCAAAGTACTTTAGGTGTCCTCCAGCTCCTCAGTGTTTTATGCTATGCTCAATGAACAGCCATTTATGCATATATCAGTTCATTAGTGACCACCTGGAACACTACAGTAAAAAAGTATAGAATATACTGTTTTCTTCAGTAGGTAACCCTTACGGCCTTGTATGATAATTCTTGGAACAATAGGTGTCACAATTTTTAGTTCGGTTTTATTCAGTAGAATCATCGTGATTGTTGTATTTAAACTTGACAAGTATTGCAGTAATACTAAAACAAAAGGGCTAAATTCTTTAAATTATGCATTGCTGTATTTCTCCATTGAACTAAAGTAGATAGAGCTGACTGAGCTCTTCCAATGATTAGCCCTTAAAGCTTTGACAGTGTAATCAACCAATCATGATTTATAATTGGTAGAACCAATTTTGGAATTAAAAAAAAATATATATACTCTAGACCTTCTGTAAGTCCAAGATACATCACAGACAAGTCTAACCAGGTGTCATTTAGTTGTTTTGAATGGAAAACAGCAGCAGTAGCGTTGCCAGGACTTCTTACTGAAAGAGTCACTGTAAAACTGCTGCATACAATATATAACATGTCTACTGTATGTATATATATAAATATATATATAAATATATATATATATATATATATATATATATATATATATATATATATATATATATACATGTAGAATGTATTTCACAAGCTTCAAATGTCCATGTTTAATCGCGAACAGCCAAAAAAAGTTCATCTGTGTCAGTATTAGATTAGCGCTAACATGCTATGGGAAAATAGAGGTGCTAACAGAAAGTAGCATTATTGTAGTTTTTTTTTTTTCTTCCCAGTTTTTCAGAGTTTTGACATTTATAGCTTAAAACTGAAGGCCTATCTCTAGTAGTCGTAGTTCACCCCCGCTATTTAGATTCATTTTTTGTCAGGTTATCCACCTTGAAATTTGAATATCAGTTTTGAAATCTGATAAATTCTAGAGATTAATTTTATTATAACTTCATTCTCAATGTTATACAACTTTCTCTGTCATTATAGAATCATTGACAGCTCCATTTATCCAGACTTAGATTAAAATTTATCGTTTTTCCCGCTTCTTTCTCATTATATACAAACCTGTGTCGAGGCATTAGAATCACTTTAAACATTTATTTGCAATCTTATTGTTTGCATATTATCAAAAAAATGCATTTCAAACTTTGAAACACTATATGTAACATATAATGACCTACTGACTGCCATGATAGCTTTAAACTATCCGAACATGTCTTTGATGGTGGATGGATGGGGTCCCAGACAGGGATTAAGCCTAGCTCTAGATTAAATTTTACTTGCAATTTCCATTCAGATTGCTACGTAAGCTAGAAATCTAGAAAACTGACCCACACTGTTTTGTTATAATGCGATATTTGTCACGTACTTGATAAAATAGATGAGTAGGAGGGGGGCTGAGGTATCACTAGCAACCTAAGGTATGAGATTAAAGGTTAACAGGATTTCCCAGCTGCTCCAGATGGCACTGAAGGCCTGAGAAACATTCGGAAATATCAGTAGACAGCCTAAAAAAAGCTGAACTCCTGCCAGAACTAACAACTATGACTCAACAGTTCACCAATCTGTGGCCTGTACTGAGGACAGTAGCCACTCGAGCAAGTATCTTCATGCTGAGATAAAACCGTCCCTGCTGTTGCCTGCAGGAATGTAAATTGGAGTTTTATTTAGAATCCCTATTCTGCATCATGGTCCTCCTAGCAGTGCTCTGTTTGAAGCTTGTAATTCCATTATCTAGAACCACCTTCACTGAATCAATGTTTCTGCCACGTTTTAAAATTAAGTCATTTATGAGTCGTGTGAGTGGCTCGAAAAGCCCTTAGTCTTTATAATTTCACCAGAGACCAAGGTGATGTTGATCCTGAGGAGACAATATTGCGTTGTTATGTGTCCCACCTGGCTGCACTGATGTGCAACTTTTAGGTGGGCCTTATTATAGGTTCGATATACTGTGTTGCATTCACTCTTGAGTCCATACTGTCCATAAAAGCTGTAAAAAAAAGCTCGTTTTTAATTTATCATGATTGTGATGTCACAACCATGTGCACATTGGTTGCCGATTCATCCTCCAGCAGTTCAGTTCTGCCCGTCTCTGTTGAAGTGAAGAGTTTTGTTACTGCAGTCGGTCTGTAGCAGAGGTTTTATAGTGGAAGTTGTGAGGATGATTAAATGTTGTGCTGTTCCTGGCTGTCAGGAAGCAAATGCATCAGTGCAAAACCAGTTCAAGCCACAGTGGTACCATATTTCAAGAAAAAAAATAAAAAAATTGTGGTTTTAGCCATGTTTGTCCACTATTAATTGTTCCTCTTCTTACATATTAAAGTACTGTCTGTAAAACCTTTTTAAGCACACACAGACTGCCAACAGGCCCCTAATATGATTTTATTTGCAGAAATGCATTGTTAGTTCTTATTTAGTTGTTTAGTTGTTTTTTGTTTGTTTGTTTGTTTGTTTGTTTGTTTAATGTGGTGCATTCAGTATTTTGCATGCCCCCAAATTTATGACACTTTCCGAATCTGTGGGCTGATATCAAAGACTTACTATGGCTTTGGATCACAAAAGTGGTGCCATTCAATTGTCTTTGATATAGTATGACCACCACTGACTGGAATTGTAATCCGAAATTTTCGAAAGTTGTGACCGAAGTATATTCTACAGCAACTGTTTTCTTGAGATCACAGGATCATTAACTTGTTATCTCAAGAACTACTCCATTATGTTAAGTTGACAAGATAATTAACTCATTATCTCAAGATATCAACTTGAACTATAACGGTTTTTGGTATAAAAACACAAACTATATAAATAAAAAAAAACTTTATTATTTACACTGATCAGGCATAACATTAGGTACTATTTGGGTGGTGGATCATTCTCACGTCAGTGTTACTGCAGTGCTGAGAATGATCCACCACCCAAATAGTACCTGCTCTGTGAGGGTCCATGGGGGTCCTGACCACTGAAGAACAGGGTAAAAGGGGGCTAACAAAGTATGCAGAGAAACAGATGGACTACAGTCTGTAACTGTAGAACTACAAAGTGCACCTATATAGTAAGTGGAGCTGATAAAATGGACAATGAGTGTAGAAACAAGGATTCATGGTCATAATGTTATACCTGATCGATGTATTCATTTTTTTTTCTTTATTAAACGAACAGCAGAAGATAGTCTTTCAGTCCTCATTAACTTTTAGTTATATTTACTGTGTAGTGGGTTTTGTTTCTTCCTTCATTCCTTTTTTTAGGCTTTGGAATTTTGTAGATTTTTTATTAGTTTTTAAAATTAATTTAATACATTTTTAATGACATTTTTTTATATTACATTTAAAAATATATATTTGAATGAGCTAAATTGCAAATTTTATTCATTTTTTAATTATTTGTTTGTTTATTTATTTATTTATTTTGACTTTTTTTCTTTCTTGCTTTTCTTTTCTTCTCTTTTCTTTTCTTTTCTGTGTCTTTTATTACATTTTATTATAAATTTTATTATAAATTATACCACTTTTAAACTTCATTATTATAAATAACTATGTGCTGAACTGCAGATAACACGGCGGGGGTCGTGACCAGGAAAGCAGGCTTCTGGCGGAGAGAGAAGAGCATGTACCTGGTTCCGGTGGTGGTGGAGGACAGTGGCTACCCCATCCAGAGCAGCACAGGAACGCTGAGTGTGCGTGTGTGTGCCTGTGATGATGGCGGATCCGTGCTGTCCTGCAGCGCGGAGGCCGTTTTTCTGGCCATGGGCCTCAGCACCGGAGCCCTGGTGGCCATTCTGCTCTGCATGCTCATTCTGCTGGGTAAGCAGCGCCAGCACATTAGCCTGATGTGGAACAGTGTGAAAATGTGACAGATTCAGAGTGACACACACTGCAATGCTCTCAACAGTGAGAGAGAGGGGGGGACGAGAAAGAGACAGTAGCGTGAGAGATAAAGAGAAAGAAGAGAGAAAGAAAGGGAGACAGAAAAGGGAAAAGCTGTTACGATGTGTGTCAAAATGTACTTGTTGTTATGAATATTAGTGATGCTTATCAACCTCCACATATGGCAAAGCACGTTCTGTTTTTAACCACTAGAGGGCAATGCTGTTAAAATAATGAGTTGAAGTGATAATGGCTATAAAACTGGAACAGAACACGGAAAAAAAATATAACGCCTTCTTAATTACAGTCACGGGTTTATTTAGCCAATTTTTCACGCTGCTTCCTCCTTTTAAAACCAGGGTATTTAGGTCTAATTTATTGGCCTTGCTAGAGCTATCTCTCCTTCTTCCCCCCTTCCCTCTCAATCCTTTCTCTCTTCTCTGTCCCTCTCTCTCTCTCTCTCTCTCTCTCTCTCTCTCTCTCTCTCTCTCTCCTCTCATTCCTCTCTCTTCCTTTTTTTCAGTATGTCTTCTCAATCTTCTCTCTCTGTCTCTCTCTCGCTGTCTCCACTCAACATTTTCTCTCTTTCTCTTTCTTTTCCTCTGTCCTTTCTCTCTCTCTATCTCTCTGTCTCTTTCTATTTCTTTTGGCTTCCCTCTGCATCATCTGCCTCTCTTTCTCTCTCTTACCCTCCTTCTCTGTTTCTCAGTCTCTCTGTCTTTCCTTTTCTATCTCCTCCTCAATCTTCTCTCTCTCTCTCTCTCTCTCTCTCTCTTTTCCTCTGTCTTGCTCCTTACTCACTCACTCCATCTTTCTGTCTTCCCTCTAAATCTTCTGCCTCTCTTTCTCTCCTTTTCTTTCTATTTTTTTCTCCCTGTGTCTCTCTTTCCCCTTCTATCTCTTTCTCAATCTTTACTTTTTTCTCTCGCTCTCTTTTTTCTGTCCTCCTCTTCTCTCTTTCTATCTCTTTCTCTCTCTCTCCCTTTTTTCTGTCTTCTCAATCTTTTCTCTTTTATTCTCACTCAATGTCTCTACTCAACATTTTCCTCTGTTTTTCTTTCCTCTCACTTGTCTGCCTCTCTCTTTCTCTCTCTCCCTCCCTCTCTCTTTTTTGTCTTCCCCTCTCAATCTCTCTCTAACTCTTTCTTTCTCTCTCTTGCTTCTTACTCACTCACTTTTTCTTTCCATATTCCCTCTTAATCTTCTGCCTTTCTCTTTCTCTCTCCATTTCCCTATTTTTTTCTTATTCTATCTCTTTTTTCTGTTCCCCCCTCTCTTTCTGTCTTTGTCTTCTTATTTTTTTCCCATTCTCTCTCTCTCTCTCTCTCTCTCTCTCTCTCTCTCTCTCTCTCTCTCTCTCTCTCGCTTTTCTGTCCTTCACCTCAATCTTCTCTCTCTTTCTCTCTGTCACTCTCTCTCTTCCTTCTCAATCTTTTCACTCACTCACTCACTCACTCACTCACTCAGGCACTCTCTTTGTGTCTTCCTTTTCAATTTTCCACCTCTCTCTCCTTTTCTGTCACATTCTCTTTCTCTGTATTTTCTTTCCCCCTCTTCCTTTCTCCTTCTATCCTTCCATCAGTCTCTAGTTCTGTTTTCCTCCCAATCTTTTCTCATATTATATCTTTTTTAGTCCTTTTCTTTTTTTGCATCTTTCTCTCTCTCTCTCTCTCTCTCTCTCTCTCTCTCTCTCTCTCTAACCACATTTCCATCCGGTGTGTTGCAGTGATGGTGGTGCTGTACGTGGCTCTGAAGCGGCACAAGAAGAAGGACGCACTGATGTCCTCCAAGGAGGACGTGCGAGACAACGTCATCCACTATGATGACGAGGGCGGAGGGGAGGAGGACACGAACGCCTTCGACATCGGCACTCTACGCAACCCCAAAGCCTTGCAGGAGACGCCGCCGAGGCGGGACGTCCAGCTCGAGGCCGAACTGGACCTGGACTCCGAAGACAACGAGGACATCCGGGCTTATATCCAGCAGCGGCTGCAGGAGAACCACACCAGCACCTCAGCACCGCCATACGACTCCTTGGCCACATACGCCTACGAAGGCGAAGGGTCAGTAGCCGAATCTTTGAGCTCCATCGAATCCTGGGTGCTGGATGCTGAAGAAGATTACAGGTCCATTCAGGACTGGGGGCCACGTTTTAAGACCCTGGCTGGAATCTTTAGCCAGCGGGAGTCGACCCAGGGTGCAGAAAAACGGCCGGAAAATAAAGGCAGCAATCCTCGGGCAGAGGGATCAGAAGAGCAGCCGGACTGATGCGATTTTGTTTATCACGCAAGCTCTGTGAAAACAGCTGGAACGTTATCGATTTGGGGCGTAACGCTCCAAACCAAGACTTGCTAGGGCAGAAGGGAAGTGGTGCATTTTTTTCTTTTCGTTTTTTTTTTCTACATGCCCCATTTCTGTTTCGAACTCATTTCAGTACTTTTTAGTTGAAAGTTGCACTGACAGACAAATCCTTCCAATTGCATTTTAAGTTCGGCTTTATGTTTGTACTTGTCAGAATCTGAGTATCGAAAAAATCCCTTTTTGGGGATTCGAAGACACCCCTTTGATATGAAAAAGTGCCTCAAAAACTGTTTCTCGTTTCTTCTCCCTCAGATACAGACACGCTCACTCCTAGACGCCGGGGAACTTCATACTGTAGCTGAAATTTCAGACGTTTCGTTGCAGGAAAAAAATAATGGACCAAATGGATGAACAAATAAATAAATAAAGTTCAAAGCCCTCCATCCCTCCCTGTAATTTTCCAGGCAGATTGCTGATGTCTTGTTAAGAAGTCGTCCGAAGGGAGCGTGAGAGCATTTCTCGCCTGCTGTTCTACCACGTGGGCCGTTTCTACAAACTTGTGTCAGTGGTGAACTGCGACAGAGCATTTTTTGGGTAATAAAGTTGTTTGAGATAAGACGTCCGTGACTTTGCGGTTTATTTTCCTGCCCCAGTGTCCAAAAACACATTTCTCTGTCTCAGTGTTGTGAATGAGGTTTGAGTTCAAATCCCTTTTGTATCACATTGCTGTGGACAAGCAGTGGCTCATAAGGCCCTGATATTAAAGGGCACCAATTTCTCAAAATTTTGGGACGGTTGTTGAATTCTAAAGAAGGTCTTTCAGAGTAGTTTGACATGAAATGGTTCATTGTTGAAGTGGTGGTGATGGGAACCAGAGGTCACGATATCTACAATGAGAATGCAAAAATTAAAAGCACAAACCTCCTTAGATGTTATAGTTTTCTTTTTGTACTATTTTGCTTCACAACATCTTGCATGTACCACAAATGGATTTATACATACCTAAAACTACTAAAAACAATATATCAAACATCATTCTGAATGTCTGTAACCACTTTGTGCTAAAACTTTCTTTGAAGTGGCTTTTAGAGGCACTGAACTCTTTAGACGTCTGGTTCCCATCATCATCTCAGTAAACAATTCTCAGTAAACAAGCAGGTATGTTTTCTTTAGAATGGAAATTTCGCTAGCACTTTATTTGGATGCTCAACTGTACATACATACATCATCTAAACCGCTTATCCTTCTGGGTCGCGGTGGGGTGCTGGAGCCTATCCCAGCTGTCATTGGGCGGAAGGCAGGATACACCCTGGACAGGTCGCCAGTCCATCGCAGGGGCAGACAGACAGACATACACAATCACACACACACCTAGGGGCAATTCAGCATGTCCAATCAGCCTGACTGCATGTTTTTGGACTGTGGGAGGAAACCCACGCAGACACGGGGAGAACAGGCAAACTCCACACAGAAATGACCCTGGTCACCCAGCCGGGAATCGAACCCAGGCCATTCTTGCTGTGAGGTGACAGCGCTACCCACTGCGCCGCCGTGCCGCCCGTGCTCAACTGTACATGCTTTGTTAATGCTCAGTCTGTCTTTAAGTAACATTAAATTAAGTTTCCATTAAATGCAACTGAACTTTAGATTCAGAGTTTATTAAATCTCTTCCTAACTCTAAACCTAAACCTAACCCTAACCTCACGGCAAAACCCACACTTACTCCTGACCCTACCTTTAACCATAAAGTTGTTGATATCTGTTGAATATCACCAGAAAGTTTGTTATTCATTGAAATATCTGTAGAGCATCTATAGAGGACCATCCAAATAAAGTGTGCCCGAAATGTCATATGAAACCTCTGTGAAAGACTTTGTTTGCATCTTAACAATTTAAAACATAATTCGCGAAATCTATTCTAGTATTCTGGCAAAATCCAGCATTTCATTTGCAAAGTTACACACTGAAGTAATGGATCAGATAGTCTAGACTGGGCAATATTAGGTCAGGGATATTAACACAAGTAAATACAACTCTTAAGTTTGCTACTGTTACATACAACTTAGCACAACTTGGCATTTTTGTTATCCTCAACTTTGGGGAATATATGTTTATTGTGCCCGTAGACCTTTATTTTACTATGCACACAGGGAAAGTGCTCTTAGGGAGTTCCTCCTTTTGAGTCTTGGTTTCTCTCTGTGGTTCTTCCTCAGGTGACACTTTGAGTGGCCCTTTTCAGATTAAATAAACACTCAGCAGACTCTCAGTAGCATATCAACAACATGTCAGTGATGTAGCAGCAGTGAATGCATTCAGTAGATTATCAAGAGCTTTTTAATAAACTGTGTAAATAGCATTGCTTTGTAATCTGAGTTCAGTTGCTTTTCACTTTATTTGAGGGGTCCAAATTGGTTTAATACAGACCATCTTAACAGCCTCAACAAGCTGTTACAGACACACTGCTGACACTATTCTGTACATGGAGCTGGACTGGATTAGGTTTTGGGTTGAGGTTAAGGTTAGAGTTAGGATTAGGGATGGGGGGGGGGTTAGGATTAGGTTTGGGGTTGAGGTTAAAGTTAGGTTTAGGATTAGGGCCAGGGTGAGGGTTAGGATTAGGTTTTGGGTTGAGGTAACCTTAGGGCTAGGATTAGGACCAGTATTAGAATTACGTTTTGTGTTGAGGTTAAGGTTAGGCTTAGGTTTTGGGGTTAACATTAATTCTACTTTATATAACAAATCAACAATACATCTACTTCATGTAAATAGTGTAAAGAACAGTACATCTTCAAGATATTCACCTCAATTGATTCATTTGCTGCACTACTGCTTCACTGATATATTGTTGTCGTTACTGATACTTCGTTAAGAGTTTATTGATCATCTACAAAAGGCCACTTAAAATAAAGTGTTACTGTTCCTAATGCTCTTTGGAAGTTTCACCTTTTTAGTCTTGATTCTTCTCAGTGGTGGTTCCTCGTGCTCTTATAGAGTTTTTCCTTTTGAGTCCTGGTTCATCTCAGTGTTTCTCTCTCAGGCTCTTGGAGAGTTTTTATTTATTTATTTATTTTTTTTTCTGACACTAACTCTCATAGGAAGGCTGCACCCACATTTCTGGAAAGCTGCCCTGGGATGTTCATTGTAGACATCTAATTTAATAGAGTTGGGTTATTTGTTCAGTTACATGCACTTAAGTCACATTTTGATGGAGGTCTTTTCAAATGACAACACAAACTCAATTCCAAGGTTGTTTCTAAATGCTTGAACCTTTATTTGAAAGAAAACAGGCACAAATACAAGATATGTAATAATTTACCTGATCAACTTCGTTGTTATTTTGTAAACATATGCTCATTCTGAAACTGATGCCTCCAACACCTTCCAAACAGTTTAGACTAGACAAGACTGGCAAGAAACATTGTAAAATGTTCCAAAACCATCTTAAACTGGTGGTCCAATCATGCTTGGGTTTGAAAGGAGCATCCAGGAAAGGCCTAGCTCTTTACGAGTGAGGATGGGTTGAGATTCACCACTTTGCCAAAAATGCATCGGCAAAAAATCCAGCAGTTTAAAAATAATGTTCTTTAGTGAGCGAATGAGGATCTTAGGGATTTCACACTCTAAGGTGCTTAATGTCATTAACAGATTCAGGGAATCCCAAGAAATGTGTGTGTGCGTGAAAAGTAAGGCCAAAAACCACAACTGAATACCTGTAACCTTCGATCCATCAGATGGCGCTGCATTAAAAACTGGCATGCTCCTGTGATGGACTTCACCACATGAGTTCAGGAATACTTTGCCAAATTCTTGTCAATAAAAACTATATTCAATACAAGTTAAGACTGTACTACACACAGTGGAAGCCCAGACTTCTCTTGGCTTGAGCTCATCTGCAATGGACTGATGCACAATGGAGGGCCGAAGAAGAAAAGCACCTTTCAGCCAGGGTCTGTTATAGGGATAGTAGTGGGTAACTTGTACATCTGAGAATGCACCCTTAACAATGAACACATTTCAGACTTCTCACTTTGAAGCTTTAGCTTTCATCTTAAACCGGGAAAAAGACAGGAATAGAACCTAACTTCAGTTTCTATGCTGACAGATGCTTGATGTACTAAGCAGTTGCACTACAGTCCTATATGGAGATTTTGATGCTTTCTCACTCAGATTGTCTTTGCAAGCCTTATTTGATGTCTACTTGAGTCATCATATCATTGAAGTAACTAACCAACCTCGGGGAGCTGAATACTGTAAACAGTGTACTATTCAAATTAGGTCTCATGTCAGTCCTGGACAGGAAGAGGCACTGGAAGAAAATTTAGACCCCCTTGAGAATGCATGCATTACCTCACCCATTTTCCTTAGCAGAACCTGTCAGAACATGAATACATGTCAACATTTTTCATAATCTTTCATTTTATTTTGTTATGGCTCCATAGGTTTTACTCAGTATGCTAAGCAAGCTGTGGTTAGAAACATGAACAGCATCTGACAAAGTTTGCAACGCTTCTCAAAAGTAGAAGCAAAACTCTAATTGTTTTTTTGAGGACAGATACATTAAAGCCCACCAAAACCTTTACAAACATGTGTTCATCCAGCTGTATATCGTGACATGTAGTCATACACTATTGAAGATATGCTGGTTTTAATTCATACCTTACCCAGGCTGGAAGACAGAGGGTGTCCTTAGAATACAAAGGACGCGGGACCATTTTCTACTTCTCCTTGCTTTCAGGTAAAACTATTACATTTTAGTGATTGAAAACATCTAACAGAAAATTGTGTTGATAATTTTGATTTTTGAGGGATGTTTTTTTTTACACAGCTGTGTTATATCATTTTCATTTGACAACTGCAGTTGCTATTAGCATAAGTTTCAGTATATCTTGTCAACAAACCTTTACCTGTGAAAAACTAGTTGATGTACTGTATTTCTGAAAGCTTGATTTCCATTTGTGGCGTCATTTTCATTTGAATGAAAACACAAATTGTTATTCTTTGTATAGACCATGACTGGAATAAACCACTGGAGCCAGATTTACACAGAGGGGTCCACTAGAGGGGTGACAGAATATA